ATGTTTAAAGTTTCATTTGATCTGTGCACGTTGAAGCGTCTGGGTGCGTAATTCGCACCCCCAAATTCCTGTTCAGAAGGTGCCGGCCATTTGGGCGGAGGGCTGTTGCAGCCCACACCACAATTAACACATCAAGGCGGGTGGGCGATCAGAGGAGAGAGGGCCAGATCCGGTCACAAAGGGGGAACGAGTAATTTGGGAACAGCGGTTGAACAACAAAAGACGATTTGAGGACACCCGTCGCGCCCAGGCGACATTTGTCGTCCGCAAAGTCTGCGATATGTTGATACAGTGTAGACCAGACCGAAAGGCGCCAAAGTGCCGGTGGTTCAAAGCTCACACCCAGGTAACCAATCACTACCAAGGAGCCGGACCAGGGGTGCGGTATGCAAATATCGGGGGCAGTGTTTATCTTGTATTTTGCATATGTCACAATAAAGGTTCGAACTCGAGGAGGGGGGGCTCTGAGCGTGATCACGGAGCAACTAAACCGTCGTTCGCTCTCAGAGATCCGCTTCCGTTGATAATGAAGACAATTTTCCTGTGTGCCGAGTCGTTTCTCTAACTTTGTCCGAGAAAATCTCTGACACTTTCCATGGTCGTTTTTTCTCGGCTAAAAACGATCGTTTTTTTTTTCGACTAAATACACCTTACTATACATGGTCGTTTTTTTCGACTAAAAACGCCTTACTATACATGTGGGTTTTTTTCGGCTAAAAACACGAAATTAGGGCATATCTTCAAGAACCACAGATTTCAAGGGCAGCTGATCCACTGAGCTGGTGGAAATACCGAGCTTCCGTCTACCCCCGCTTGATCAAAGTAATGGAGAGTACATTGTGCATTGTAGCAACACCTGTCCCGTCAGAGAGGGTGTTCTCAAAGACTGGACAAATTTTAGTATTCCAAGTTGAAGTATTTAGTTTTGTTGACTGCAAATTTAAAATAAAGCAAGGAGTAGCTTATGTTTGTTAAAGTAAAGCAAGGAGTAGCTCCATGTTTGTTTTGTTCACTGCTGCTGTTGCAGTTAATACTCACTATTTTTGTTATGATGCAGCATGTTTGATTGTTGTTGGTTGAAGTTTAATTTTCTTGCTTGTTTATTGTTTGGAGCCTTTTTAATGTTCAATAAAATCAGTAAAAAGTCATTTCTTTGCTTGATCATTGTTGCTATTTGCAGTCAGTAGAGTGGAATATTTAGTTCACCAAGTCATTTATCAAAATTTATGCTAAATTTGTCATCAATATTTAAAAGAAAAGCTCAAGTGAAAAGAGCCGTTTGAGAGCCAAGAAGAGTCGGCTCTTTTCAGTGAGCCGATCCAAATGAACCGGATCACCGAAAAGAGCCGAAAATCCCATCACCACATTGAGTTGCCTTGTCACGTGCTTTCCACTTTATTCCGACGCCCCGTGAAGGTGACGTGGTTTTGCCTTTATGGCACGTTATTCACTTTAATTCTTGTGGCTTTAAGTGGAAGCACCAATTTTCCCGGGAAGCCAAAGCAGTTATCATCAGCGGTCAGCGGGTGGCGCTAGCGTGCACGTATCAACCGACAGTGGAGGAACATGCAAGTGATTTGTTGATTGTGTTTGAAACGGAAAGGGGGGGGGGGGAATCAATGCAAATTTGTGACACTCTCCATCAAGGGTTAGACAAAAATAACATTTTGAAAAAAAGGAAGATAGATTGTACAGTGGTGAATGACCCCCATTTCCCACACCACATTAATACAAAAACGGAAAAAAAAGCCCTTGTAATTGTCATACAACCCCCCCAGCAAAGTTGCATACCGTTTGAAATCAAATGAATAAATAAAATATCGCACAATATTCGAGGAGCAATAAACAATAACTAATCAAAAAAAAAAAAAGAGCCTTACAGTTCGATTCGCAAATCCACTTGATAAATTGAAATAAATGCCATCAAGGCAAAACTACATCGTCTTCAGAACGCTACATTGTCGCCATCTGCTGGTCGGTAGAAGAAATGCTGTCGGTGACAATTTCCGGTAATCCCACACAAATAGACGAGTCGGGTTTTTTATACATTTGTGTCTCGTGCTATATTGTATTTTCGTCGTAGAAAAAAAAACTGGACATCAAATGTTACTAAACGTTTCCTTACTCGTACAAGACGACAAACGAGAACATGAATCCATTTAAATTGTGGTGTTTCTATTTTTAAAAAAAACAAAAAAAACTCTCTCTCCCCCTCTCCCAATGCGTTTCAATGGCCGTTTTTTGTGGATATTCGCAAGATAGCATCGCAAATGGCGGGTCTGTACGGTACAACCATTTTTGTTTTTATGTCACCCCCCACCTAAAAAAAACTATGCATTTCCTTTATTTTAAATAAAGATAATGACAAAACTCATTAATACATTGCTTTTTTCTTTGTGTTTTTGAAAACGGATACATGCTGATTTTTGGGGACATTTCATTACTTCAACTAAATGAAGAAAAAACAAACACAAAGAAATGAATAAGACATTTGCAAAAGCTTGACAGTGAATTGTCGACAAGTTTTTATTGAACCTCAAGTACAAACAAACTGCAAAAAGTTAAAAAAAAAAAAAAGTCACCAACACGAGAGTCTGGACCAATAAATTAAGAGCCTCGCTTTTTGTCAGTGAGCACTTCCGGACTTGTGTATCAAAAACCAAACCTAGTTAAGGCCATAAACCCTGACATCCACTGTCATTTTTATTTCGACACTGGAAATGCTCACGTCGGTATTATGCCTTAAATAGTCCTAAAAGAGTTTTTCAGTCTTCTGCGCCGGCGGGATGACGACCAACAACAACAAAAAAAAAAAGGATCCAGGATGTAAAAGCAGTTTTCTTTTTCAGTGCAACAAGTGGAGAGCTACAACCTTTCTGTGTGTGAAATGTTCACACATAGGAAAAAAAAAAATCTCACCTGCCGTTTTTTTCCCTTTTCTTAAAAAAAGTAAAGCTAAAGGAAGAAAACTAGGCTGAGGGGGCTTGGGAATGGGCATGGGGAGTCATCTTATGTTTAGCGATATAAGCAGCACTTAAACGATTTTTTTTTTGTTTCTCTTTTTTTTTTCTTTACATATGGGAGCGACCCTGTCGTCAGCGCACATGTCGATGAAGAAAGGGAATTGTAAGGCTTTTTCTTCATCACCATCATCAGCATCACCACCACCACCACCACCACCCTTTTCCTGGCATCCTTCCCCACTGGGCTCAAGTATGTAAAAGACATTTACAGGATTATGTACAAAAAAAAATCCCGAGGTGGGTTGGGGGAGGAAATCACTCAATTTAATTAAAAAATAAAATAAATTAAAAAAAAACATTTCACATTTGACACTAGTGGCTCTACTTGATAACGTAAACAAAAGAAAAAAGACAGAAATAAAAAATGAGAAGAATTAAAGTCAGATGAAGGACTGGAAGAAAAATGGAATGTTAACATGATTGCACGTCTCCAACCAAGCGGGGGGGGGGAGGAAAAAAAAAAAAAAAAAAAAAAAGCTTTTCCGCCGCGTTAGCGCTGGATTGTGGCAAACGTCACACTTGTGTTTTCCTCCTCATGATCAGACAGTAAGTCGGATAGCAACAGCACCCCAAAAAAAATAAGGCGGATTTCCTCGCTCTGAGGCACACTTTTGTTTTTTTTTTTTGCACTCAAACCCCACAAAAAAGACGCAGGAGGTGAAAGAGAGAAAAAACAAAGGATACGTGAACCCCCCCCAAAAAAAACAAAAAAAGAAACAGCAACAGTATTGTCTTTCAAGTTTTCGCTACTAGAGCACCCCCCCCCACCCCCCCGGATTTTCAAAGTGATACTGCAGGAGCTGCGTCGGGAATTGGAGGGAACAACTTTGGGGCCGCTGCGCTTGGCTGGCGAGGCTTGGGCGGGGCTGACGGGGCGGCGGCAGGCCTCGGCCCCGCCCGTCGCCGCCGCCACCACCGCACCCCCGCTGCTCTTCAACATGGCCCGCCCGCACACCTGGTTGACCAGGTCGTTGATTTGCTCCTGAGCCAAGAAAAAATACAAAGTGGAGCTTGCGTGACTTTTGGACAACAACGTGGACATTTTGCGGGAGGATTTTTGGCTGACCTCGTCGTATCTGTACATCATCTTGAGGCCTCGGCACGATTTGTGCTTCTCCACGTAGCGCAGCGCGCACTCAAGGCAGAACACCACGTTGTCCGTCTCCTGTACCACCTGCAAAAATTCAAATTCGGTTCACATCCACACAAACCGTTCATTGTTTAGTGTTGAAGACATCAATGACATGAAAACGATCGCGTCAAAACATCAATACCTTTTTTTGGAGGGCGGGGGGATTAACGACGATGATGTTTTCATGTTAAGTTTTATTTGCCTTTCAGCTGTTAATTAAATTGGTATTAGCATTCAAAGATGATTTTTAAAAACATACATGTTGAATTTATATTCAAAATTTCCAATGTTTTTGGGGTTTTTTTTCTTCAATTTTTTTGTTTTGTAGTCAGTAACCTGTAATTTTGTAATTTGTTTTTAAATCAAATTGTAACTTCAAAACTAGTTTCTGATTACACTTTTGTTTTCATTTTAAATTTTGGTTCATTTTCATGCAAATTTTGGACAGTCATAATTATCATTAATTACATTTTTCATTTTTTTTTACATTGTAAGTAGGGCTTTATCATTAACAACAAAAAACGAGGCTGAATTTGTAAACGCCGCAATGTGGATAAAAGTTCCACTTAACGGTTCTATTAAAAAAAAAAAAAAAATGTCACAAAATATAAATATTTGCTCGTAGATGATGAAATAAAAGCAAAAAAATGCAGGCGCGCAAGAGCAGAGTAGAAGTGGTGACCATGGAGAGGTAGCAGAGGTGGTGGCAGGTCTGGCAGCGTCTCTCGGAGGACTCGAGCGCCGTCCACTTGCCGCGTGGCTTCTTGCGGCTCTCGTCGTGAGCGCCGTAGCGGGCCGCCGAGTGCAGGCCGGCCGTGAACAGCTCCTCGCGTTGGCGCATCTCCAAGTTCCTGCGGCGCCGACACGATGCCAAACAAGACCTCGTCAGGCAAGCTAACAGCATTACGGAACATTTTACAAGCATTGTACAATTTCTCAGAAGATTGCCCATATGTATCTGAAGATGGAAAAAAAAAATTTCTCGTAAGCCGCTCCGAGGGAATTTTGCAACGATGGCAAACTTGCGAGTCGGGGGCGGGGCCCGCCCACCTGAGGTCTTTGAGGAGGGCGGCGATGGTGGTGAGCAGAAGCCCGTTGTCCCGCTTGGACTCGGCCGTGGCAATCTGGTAGAGCAGCTTCTCCATGGAGAAGGGCTTGGCGATGCGCCGGCACTTGAGGTCCTGTCGGAGCCAAAGAGCAAATCACTCAACTGCAGACGGAAACGGCGGCACACAACTCCCAAAACGACAGGCTAGTCATTCGACTCAAAAGACTGCGTTCGGAATCATTCGCATCATCGCTTGCTGGAGTGCTTTTGGTGTGTTACAGAAAAGAGCTGATGAGAACGAGAATGGGCTAACTGCATTCGTACACAAATCGATTGACACAAAGCTCATCTTTTAGACGAGTATCGGTTGAAGCTGTTTACTTCCAGTTTCGACCTGAAGGGGGCAGACCTTGATTGCACTGGCCGCTTTTCTGATTCAGTGCAACAGTGGGCCAACCGCCGAGGAAAGTAGCTTCCAGTTGTTGACAGAAATGCACAAAGTTGCAGATTTTTTGGGCTGGGTGGCATGTTAGTTTGTACACTTGAATGTTATTTTTCGCCTTTCATGAAAAATGGATACTTTCAGTGGATGCTTGTAATTAGATCACGATAGTAGTGCAATTTTTTTCAGAATGTTACTACAGTAGAACTGAATAATATACAGATGGACATCACCAAGAAAACTTGAAATCACTCTCGGAGAAAATAAAAATGGAGCTGGCCCACTCTAGTTGTCAGTGGCTCAAATGAACATGCTTGTTTTTGTAAAAACCTTGGCGGCCTGGTAGCCCAGCTTGATCCAGTGCAGCGTGGCGAAGTGCACCGTCTCGGACACGCTGTAGCCGCAGCACACTTTGGACACAAAGGTGCCCGGGAAGCAGACCACAAACTGGCCGCTGCGCTGCACCGTGCGGTGCACGCGGATGCCCTCCCGGCACAGCACCTCCGGAGAGATCTAAGCAAGCAAACGTCCACGTGACCAAAACTCCGCATTCTTACTCACCAAAACAAAAACAAGACAATAAATGACACGATGACTGCTTAATTTAAGAGGACATGTTATAAAATGTATCTGTTAACTGATTAAATCGCAGCCATTTTCACTGGAGCAACCCCCTCAATCCCAGCGTTTAACTGGATCTTTACTATCTATCTTTTACTATCTATCTTTACTGATCTTGCAAGGCCCACAGAATATTTGGTTCGAATGCTATATAAACATGGACCCTACCAAAATAAAATTTGGACTCTCTTCTTCCAGCAGAAAAAAATTTTTTTCATTATCTTTTTCCATTCTTCAGCAATCGGCATTACAAAATGACTAACTTTCATGAAAATGGCGATTCCTGGACAAAAAACGGAGAAAAAGAGCTTTTTGTAAAAGCATGCATTTCAAGCACGTGAGGCACCACTGCCACCTACTGGTCGCTTTTTTACATGCTTTACAATGCGAACGGCTTATTCTCATTCACAGATTGCATCAGACCCTCCTGC